GGGAGCAGCGATCTTGGGAAGGATGGGAGCTGGGGAGAGACCTGCAGAGCCACGATAGCTGGCCAGGGGGCTGGTCTTGCAATGTGCCTTCAGGAAGACCTCGCTCGAGATCTTCTGGTGGCCACCAGAGAAGATGCTTCTCCTTGGAGCCCTATGCCATCCCCACAGCCTGGCCTTGCACACCCCAGCTCTGGGAAAGGGCTACTTTTCCTTTCCATTTCCCACATGGGAGACAGGCAGGTGGGTTACTGCTGAGTTGTTTTACTGTTTTCCTTTCTGTTCCCCAGCAAAGCCCCACTGCGTTGGGAAACAGCTATTGCAAAGTCAACCAACCAACTCTTCAGGAATTTCAGGGCTGCACTCATCCTTGGTACTGCAATTCACCCCCCATTTACCCTTTACTCTCGCCCCTCTACATAAACACACTCCACAGGTAACTGGAAATTTGACATTTTTACACCATGAATGTGCTTTTTGTCACTGGAGATTTTTAATATTTTTCAAATAATCTGCTTTCACTCAACAAAATGAAACAAAGAACTTCCAAGCTGTGGCTGCAGCCTTTTTTCACTTGAGCTGATGCTCCAGCTTGCTGTGAGCAGAAAAAGTTATCCCACTGGGCTCAAGGAAATGCTAGTGCCTTTAAAATAGCCACAAAGATTCTCACCATGAGAAGCACCAGGAAGATGCAGACACGGGGACAGTTGCCAGTCTCTCCAATCAAACTCTACATACCTGCTCCAAAGCCAATGTTTGCTGATAACAGCTGCCATATGTCCACAACGATGCTTCCCCTGCACAAAAATACACGTCTCTGCCCTAATTTCACCTGGACACGGCAGAGCAGGACAGGCGCAGGGCAGCTGTAGCCCCACAGCATGCACCACGGGAAAACAGGCTGACTTTTCAGCATGCCCCAGCATGGCAACGTCCTTCAGCTGGGCTTGGAGGAGCACGAAGTTTCAGTGTTTCCAAGCGGCGGTGGTGGGCTCCGGGCAGCGCTGTCTCCCTGACCGGGGGCTCCTGGCTCCCCCCAGCCCAGCGCAGCACCCAGGTACCGGGCACTGTCCCACCTGATAAGCAGAGATACCCCCAGCCTGCTCAGCCACTATCTAATATTTATGGAAATATGTTTGCATTGCATTGGAGATTCTTGGGCTCTGACCTTGATCGCCCTTTATTTCTGTCAAATGTGTTCTGCCAAATCCCTTCTGAAATCTCATTTATTCACAGCAGCTCCTTAACCCAGCGGGCACCCCCCTCGCTGGCGATCGCCGCTGATACATGGCGTTTTTCTGCCCCTTCCCCTGCTTTACCCCACGTCCCCACAGCCCCCAGGTCCCAGCCCCGGTGTGGCCCGAGCCCAGCAGGTCTCCCTGCGGACTCCCGGAGGGCTCAGCAGCCGCTTGCCCACACCGTAACACTGCTGGGATGTTCACAGTGGGCAAAGTCATTCTCTTTCCAAGGAAAACATCTTTTTTCCTCTTTGATTATTTTTTCCTAAGTATTTCAATTTCTCAATGAAAATCACATCTATTTTCTTTCCCTCCCGCCATTCCTCCTCTTTCCTTCCTCTTTTCCCATAGCAAAAGAGCGGACGGTAGGAAAAAAAAATACCACTGTATTAAGAATTTTCTGTTTGTTTCTTGTCACCAATACAAAAAATAACATGCCTTCCCCAAATGAGCCAGCCCTGCCTCCTCCCCAGCCTCCCTGCAGCCCACTCCATCGGTCTTCCCAACATCACAGCCTCTGCCATCTCTTTGCCTGCTCTTGTCCACCCATCCCTGCTTCTCTCCTCTCTAGCTCCCTGCACCCCACTGTCAGTGGCTGAAAACTCCCTTGACTTCTAAAAACTGATGGGAAAAATAATAATAATAAGGAAATAAAGTGACAGAAACAGCAGTGAAGAACCATATCATGTAAATGGAGACCTGGTCCGTGGGGCAGAATGAAGTGTGCAGAGGCCGGTGGCGTGGAGGGTGCTCTGGATGACGATGCTGAAGGGATAAGGGAATGTAGAGGTGGCAGTGGCTTTGGTTTTTCCCCATCACGGTACAGCTCCTTTCCTCGAACGAGGGGCTCCATCTCCTGACACCCGAGGGACGGGCTGGAGCCAGGAGCAGGGTCTGGCACACAGCAAATCCACCTTCACTCTCCAGCTCTCATCCTGCCATGGGAATTTCAGCGCTGATTTAAACCCGCTCTGACTTGGTATTCATCTGCATAATGGGAGCAGCAGCCTCCTCCCTTGCAGAGGCACTGGGAGGCTTAATTCAATCTAAGGGCAATGTTGGGACATCCCAGGACAAGAGACACACCAAAGGGGACAGCAACCTGCACCTGTATTTTCCTTATTCACTTCTGAGCTGTAGAGGAAAATACCAGCCCATAGCTCTCAGTGAATCGTAGCTCATGTATTTTCAGCAGCTCAAAATGTTTTCATGAGAATGCCTTAAAAAGATCCCAAGGCTCAAGCTACTTTTTTAGATGAAAAGTCTAACCAATGTCTGAACATTTTACCTTGAATTGTTTGTCATTTGTCACTGTATTCAAACCAAAAGACATGGCAGCCAAGGCAGGAAATAGCTGCGTACGCCCAAACTGGTATGAACTACAGCAAAGAGCAGCAGCAAGGAGAGAGGCTCCCGGCTCCAGCATTTGCATGAGCAACGTTGGTCCTGGAACAAAGACAACTCCTCTGCATGCCTCCTCTGCAGCACTCAGGCAAGGCTCGCTCCCAGGCTGGCTTCCCACTACCACCCGTGCAGCAATAAATCCCCTCTTTTTGGAAGTGTTAGCCAACAAGCCCCTTTCTTGATCTGGAGGCTTTCTGCTGCAAACACCCACCCGAAGGTGGCTGACTTTCGGGCAGGGTTGTAGCATGTTGCGCGCCCTGCACCGTCACGCAGTGATGCCTGAAGCACGGCTGGCTTCACGGGGCCACCACCGAGTGGGCTACGGCTCGACGGGCACATGGGCAGGAGGTATTAACCATATGAGTTTAAAAATCTGCTCTGTCTCCAGGATTTTATTGTGTTCTCATGTGCATGCGCTGCTCCCATCAAAGCTAACAGGAGTTATATGTGTGCTATGGGATGAATGCTGCCATTGTGGGCTGGTGCTGGAGTAAGGCAGACTCGATCAGGGCATCAAAAAAAAGGGGGCTAGAAGATGTTGCCTTTCACTGGGAGAAGTCTGATGGCACGGAAAAAAGGCTTTGAAAACAGGGTACAGCAAGATTTAATTTTGACCTGAAATTGCAACACAGTTCACTCCCTGATCTACTCCCTTTGCTGCTGGGACCTCTGAAGATGTATTACAGCTCCAAGGGTTTCCGCTCAAAACTAAACAGTTTCAACTCACTGTCGGCTAGAAAATTCTGGGTTCACTGGATTTTTTATTTTCGTGGTAAGGGGCAAACAAATCTTAATCTCTCTATTCTACGTTTACAGCCCACTAAGCCCCTTTCTTATCTTCTCTGGCTCAGTCCTGATTTATTGTCATGATGCTGCATTTGTAAAACAGTACCATAAAGTAAGAAAGAGAACATTTCCCAAGGACTACTCCAAAATAAATTATTTCAGACGTATAGAAGCTGCTTAATAAATCCCACTATTCTTGTTTCTTTAGGTATTTTAGAAAGTGATTTATAAGTGCAATATCACCTCTCAAAAATGAGACAATCAACACAGGATAAAATTATCGTGTTATGAAAATAGGGGTCAGGCAAAGGGGCTGTGCTTTAAATTAAACCAGGGAAAAATGTTTCATCTGAAACTGACCCTTTTTGTCTCAGAAATGAATGTTTTAATCACCTAAGAACCTAAAAGCTAATGCAGAGACCTAAGTAATATTTAATTTCACAGAAATGTGCCTGCGTTCAATATTGATGGGCAGAACATGATATTTTTCTTAAACACACTAACAATGAAACTTGGAGACGCATCAAGCCTTGGGATTTTCCTACACTAAGAGATAATATCCCATTTAAATATTTAAATATCACTACCTTTCAGACTGTTATCTATTCAAACAATCAACACCAAACGTTCTCCAGCTAACGCAGTGGCAGACTCGCAGGCATGCTATTTAAGTAAAATTAACTCTGTTTGATATTGATGCCTTCCAACGACATCCATGAAAATCAATGATCTTAGAGAGAAACAATGTAGAAAACTAACCATAGGGCTAAATCTGCTGAAGAGGAAAATATTATTAAACAGCAACAGTATTAATTCAATACCACTGTCAAAATCAAGTCACAACCTTTCCTCGGTGCTGCTGATACAGAAGCACCGTAAGGTCTAATTAGCCCTGAAGTTTCTTCCCAGAGCTGCACTTTACTTCATTATCCCTGCCTTATTTATCCCTACAGAAGAGTCATCTGAAACTTCACAAGGTATCCCCTTGCCACAGCGTGAGCCAAGAGGCAATTTGAGTTTGAAAGTGCAAGAGGGATCTTGTGCCCCTTGAAATCAATAGGACAGCTTTCCCTTCATGGAGCATTCGTGCTCCTCCTGCTGATGCCACTGGGGCCACCCTGGCAGCAGGACACAGGGGTGATGGGCTGGGGGCTTTTCCCAGCAGGAGAAAGGGTGCAAGGCATAGGGGCTATGAACTAGGGGCTTTGGCTGGTCACCTTCCCACGGGGTTGGAGCACATGCACTTTGCTCAGTTCAGTGAGGATATTACGTACCCAGAGGGAAACAACCTCCTCCTCTGCTCTTGAGTGGTTAATAAGGCTCAGGAAGACACCAGACTGGAAACATATAAAATTGCCACCACGAGCATGGCCACGCAGGGGACTGCAGCGTCTGCCACCGCACCCTGACCTTGGTGGGCAGGAGTGGAGCAAGGCAGGGTTGCATCACCAGCTCTTCCCAACCCCCAGTGCAAACACCTTGTCATTAACATCCTTCTACGTTCAGCTGAACTCATAACACAACATCCAGAGTGGCTTTAACAAAAGGCAGTAGTAAGAGGGGCAGGTCACTGACCGTGGGTAGCTGGCTGGAGAGAAGATGCCCATCCTGACTCAACATGTTGGAGACCATGATGGCTGGCAGGTCCATGTTCTGGTAGGGGTACGCTGGTATCAGGCTGTTCGGAGGGAGGCTGTGGCACAGGGAGTGATATCCAGTTTCGTGGTCCACCAAGTGCAGGAGTGAAGGGTCGGGGAGATTAGGAGGCGTTATGGGAGGGATCTCATAGTCTTCGTTATTCTCGTTCTGACCGTTATACGTCTATAACATGAAAAAGACATTTTGCAATGCGTCACTGCCTTGTTGCTTCAGCAGAGTGATTATTTGTGTAAGAAATACAAAAGCACATTCCAGTGGAAACGGTTTTGTTTTAATAAAAATGACATCTCCAGCCCCAGACACCAGCAGGTTGTAACTACATAGGAAGCGGGTAGTGAGTATGGCAGCACTGCACCATCCATCAGGGACACCACAGGTCCCTGCACACCTCAGATCTGCCTGGGGCATCCGCACTGCTCCCCTCTCCCATGCTGCATCCCTCTAGAACAGCTTTAGCTCGCCAAAACCTCAGCAGAAACCTCCACGCCTGGATCGCAGCCAGGCAAGCGATGCTCGCAGAGCCCGCAGCCATGAAAGAGCATGGCTGCTTCCCAACCAGCTGCTGCAATTTTAAGGCAAAGTGGGCACCCAGCTCAGCTCTTACAGTATCTACAGTTTGTATTTTCTAGAGTGTTTATGAGAATTAGCTCCGTAGAATTAACTAGTACTTGGGAACAAAATTCCTGTTGATTCTTCACAAACTCCAGCACAGAAGTTACAACTACAGAGAGAGATTTGGAAAAACAGCCATCACATGTTTTTTAAATCCTTTAAAGAAAGCCTGCATGACTCCACCACACGCGGAGATTTGTCCTTCCTTATACCCGCATCCAAATTGTACTTGGACAAGCAGTCCCTCACCTCCCTATCAATGCTCCCTCGAGGTGACCATGAACACACAGAGATGTTGGTACTCCTTGTGCTTCCCCTGTTTTCTGGTGGCTTGTTTACCTCTAAGCATTCCAATTTAGATGGAGAAAGAATATGTCATAGCACCTGTGCAATCGTTTTCACTTCAGACAAAAACGTATTGGCTTCATAATGTAACTGTGAACCTATCCAAAATTATTAATTGTCAAAGCAGAATATAATGAGTCTCTGGCAGAGAAGGCTTATTCTAAACATCTACTGTTTCACATATTATTATAGCATATGAAATTCTGATTCGCCATAGTATTATACACATGGATTTTAAGCTAAATTTCTCAGATCTCCTAGTTTCATGGTTGGATTTTGACTTAATACTTGAATTAAGAGCAAAATGCCAGATGTGTGCAAAACCAGTTAAGCACTGTAGGCTTTATTAAGCCATTGCCCCAGAGCTCACACTCAGATTCATGCTCTTCATCACCCCAGACTGCAGGGAGAAAACCCTTAATACAATAAAATAAGACCCATATTTAACCAGAATACAGAAGTCAGTGGGAGAGGCAGCGGGGAGCAAGGAGGTATCAGTGGGTAGGTGGAAGGGCTCCCAGCGGGAATGCTCCGGCACCGCCTGGAGAGACGCGTCCCCGCGGGGTGTCGGAGCAGGGGGTCACTCCTGCCTCACCCCCGGCCAGGGCTGGAAGCGGCTCACCCTCTGCTAAGCTGGGCCCCCACCTCCCGCCTCCCCTCATCCCCTTGCAAAAAGAGACAGAGAAAAGAGCAGGTACTGCACATCCCACCTGACTCTTCGTGTTCGCCTGAGATTCCCACTGGCTGCGGGGAAATATGAGTATGCAAGAAATACAAGACGGAGCTCGGGCTGAGATAGCTCTGTACCAACAGTTGTTGTTTGGGGGAAATTCAACCTCTGCTATTTTGCCAGCCAGCTTCTCTCCACCAGCGGTATTATATGGGGAAGGCAGGGGGCTGAGAGGACGTACACAACAGCAGGCAGATAGATCCCATTTAATACATCTAGTAGTTAGGTTTCTGTTTGGGCGACGCACTTCGAGGTACACCGATTCTTTCCCAGTTATTTAAGAGGATTTCGCTCCATGCTTTACGGAAAGGGATTTAAATAAATCATTGCACAGCAAACTTGTTCCTCCAACTGGTTTATTTTGGTATCAGGTATATAAGCAAGTGGCTTTGCTGTACTTAACTAAATTATGTAAAACCCACTCAAAGTTTCCTAAAGCTCTCTTCAAAACTACAAGTTCCTTGTGTTGCTGCAGAGCAGCTCACCGAAGGGCTTTGAGGTGGTTTTGTAAGGAGCGCGAAAGCCCCGTTGCCCTGCTCACCCCCCTGCACATTTCTGCCTCTGCTCTATTCAGCTGGGGGAAAAAAAAAAAAAAAAGACCTGTTTAAATTACAAAGCTTTCCGAACAGCTACAGTATTGTGCAGACATATCAAAATTAGAATCAAAGCTGTACACAATCAAAATCAGATTAGACAATATCCAATCAACATAATCAGACTTGGCGCCTGCCAGCTTTTACACCCTATCTCTATGAACAATTTTCCAAAGCAAGCTGCATTTATTCTATATGTGTTTTAAATAGATTACTAGAAAGATAAGGAAGGGAGATGAGACAGATAGACACTCGGAAGGGTGGGAAAGGGGGGTGACTTGTTGTCACACACTGTGCCTATTGACACGTCCAAGGTGATGTCTCCGTCCCCATGAAGGGTGGTCTCATGCCACGTGCACAAAAGCTGTCATCTCAAACCAGTAACACCCAAAACCCCTTTCCACCACCATGTGGGCTACGCTGCAAATTATATTTTCTATTCTTATGTTAATTTGAATTAAATTAAACAGCCAATTATATGTTATAAGGAAACATTACAAATTAGATTAGTGAGCTGGTCTGAACCCATTCATCCCACCAGGACTCCAAATGCGAGCTCAGAGAAGCTCGCTCTGCTAAAAGCCTGCCCATTACGACACACAAAAAAACACGGAAGATCTAGGATTTTCCACTGTCAAACAGATGATAGTTGTTGTGATTACACATTATTCCTTTTCAAATTAAAACACTGAAATCAGCTGAAATAAGCCTCTTCTTGCAATCCCTCTCTCAGCTCGCACTGCGGGGCAGATGGGTGCTGCTAGGAGTGTCAAACCCCTGCTTCTGCCGGCAGCGGGATGGAGCAACAGGATCAAGCCAAGCACTCTTGGAGAGGGGACAGTGCCTCTTCTCTGACTCCCTCCTGGCCCTCAGACCCCAATGCATCTCTGTGCCCCAGCTATAGGGGCTGTGCTGCAGGGCCAGGCACCGGGCATGGACCGAACTGCCCTGAGCACGGCACCGGGGTTATGCCGCATGCTTGTGTGGTGACACCAAAGGATGGCATTGCAGCAGGTACGACCAGCCTCCAACAGCAGTAAAATCATATTTAAAAACAATTTTTCCTTCTTGAAACCCAAGTTTGAACGGGGGGGGGGGGGGCCCCGGACCGTCTCCCTCCACCTGCAGATTCAGCGGCAGAGGACAGGGGGGTGGAGAGGAGGTGGTGTGAGGACATGAAGAGATGCATCCATCTGGCTGTGCTCATGCCACGCAGCTTCTCCACCACCCTTTTATCATGCCTTGCTGGGCCACAGCTCCCTAGATCTGTGCCTTTGGCACGGGAAGGTGGGGGGGGGGCTGTAATGGGGAGAAAGGCTCTGGTTCCCAGCAAGGTGACACCCAGGCCATGTCCAGGACCAAGAGGAGTCAGAACAGGTAGCCACACTAACAGCTGCTCACAAGCACAGGGGTGGGGACATGCTATCTGCATTCATTTGAAAGGAAAGTCAGAATTGCTGAACCCCTTCCAGGAGCACGGGGTGACTTGCACAGCAAGGTCCCATTGCCAGTGCTGCAGTGGCAGCAGCAGGCACAACCTGTGCTCCCAAAGCACCAGCGGGTCTTGGAGACATCCCAGTGTGGCCTCCTGCCACCGCTGCTCCCCACCATGGGGACGATATGCCATGATCTCCCAGGCTTCCCATACTCCTGAAGCTTTTCAGGAGAGGGAGACAGAGCGGGATATGAGACACCCAAAACCCCAGGATCTGCAGGCGACCCACATGAGGCTAGTGGGGAAGGACACAACAGCTTGTGTAGCAGGAAAAGGCTGAGAGGGAGGACAGGGAAGCGGTGGGGCTGGAAAACGGTTAAGGAGCTGGCAGGAGCAAGTCCCTGGGAGCAGAAGGTGACACAGCAGAGCCCTGCAGGATGGCCCTGGCCAAGCAGGGGGAGCAGAGCTATTTGAGGGTGAAGAAGGACACGAGTCCCTGCTTCTTGCATGAATGCTCAAGCAACAGCACTGTGCACACCCTGAGCAAAGCTGGGCTGACCAGGGCCCAGGTGGTCCTGTGGTGCATGTTTGTGGGTGCAGAAGAAGCAGGAGTTGCAGTTAAAGGCTGCCCCATATGGACATGGAGCTGAATCAAGAGAGTGGGTGGAGAACAAGAGCTTTACAGGGGAACGAGCTGGTCCCACTGTCTGTCTCCCATGTCCCAGGCATGGGAAGCCTGAGTTTTAACAGTAAAACTGGATCTTCTTTTATATGGCTGGATAAGCACCTGAATATAAGCTCATTGAGTTGTGGACGTCTTCTCTACATGCCCTTAAGCTGCATCTGAAAATTACTGTGGGTCAAGGAGAGAAGTGAGGAGCTCTCACTCCAGACTGTCAGCATCCAGCGATGAGCAAGCTGCAAACAGTGCCGAGCGTTTTCACAGCAAGTATCTACCATTGCTGTAACGCAGTGCAAACCCCCGCAACAAAGGAGCATGCTTCTGCTGCTGCTCCAGGGTGGGAGAGAAACAATCCCACCTTTCTTCTGCTCTTATCAGCGGGCTACACCAGGCAGCGTTGGGGGAAGGTCAGGCAAGGGGTGCCAGAGCCAGAGCTGCCCTGCAGCCCCCCGGACTGGATGTGTGGCAGGTTGGGGGGCTGCCCTGGGAGCAGGCAGCAGGGCAGGTAGTGACAGCTTCAGCCATGAAGCCTTCTTGTCTGCTTTGAGAAACCCAGGCCACATCGCTCAGCTTTTTTACAACACCCCGGGATGTATCTGCAGCCGATCACCAGCACACCTGAGACTGATGGGGTGTGCAGGGATGGGAATGGAGGCACCTGTTTGCAGCTCTCACTTTGATCCATTCAAGGCATTAGGCCAGATTTCCACTTCTTCTGGCTCATGTATACTAAGCCCAGACATTTCTCTGCCTTGCAGCATGCTA